CCTTGCATCCGAAGCCTCAACCCTGAAGCCAAGCCCTGAAACCTGAAATTGCCGAAGCCTTCAACAAGGTCTTCCACAACACCTTCTTATGGGATACTCCAAACAATCCCAAGACTCCCAAGACCCTATACTAGTGGCACACGCCCCAAGCCGTTAAAGTCTTAATGGCCCAAACCGTCTTGGCCCTGAACCCCCATAAAGCCCAAGTCCTAAACACTGGAAGCCTCAAACCCAAAACCAGCAGAAGCCGAGGGGAGGACCCGGCCATGCATACGGCATTGCCATAGGAGGCCAGTAGCCTCGGTCCCAAACCCAGAATTTAGGGTTTAGGGTTTAGGGGTTTAGGGGTTTAGGGTTTAGGGGTTTAGGGGTTTAGGGTTTAGGGGTTTAGGGGTTTAGGGGTTTAGGGTTTAGGGATTAGGTTTACGGTTTAAAGGGGTTTCGGCGCTCACACTCGGACAATCCAGGCGGCTTAGGGGTTTAATTAAGGGTTGAGAGGTTTAGGAAACCGATTTATGTAAGGTTCCTCATTCTGACTATGACGAAAAAGGTGCTTAAAACCAGGGTACTGGGCCCTCCGCATGATCACGGGAATCGATAAGGCCTTTATGTGCGAGGTGCATCGATTTCATAATGGAGCTGAGACCGAGCCTGGGCTTCAAACCCTCAACCTGAAGCACCGAAGCCCCCCCAAACCTCGCCCCAAATCCAGGTATCCCTCAAGTAACCCTGTACATGCCGAACCCTGGGGGCCTTTTACCAAAATGTGAAACGGCCTTAGCAACATCATAAAAGAACCTCGGAACATCTGAAAAAAAACAACCTCGCACACAAACCCTTGTAAACACACTCTACAACCTTATACAACCCTTATCAAGCCTTATAAAAACGGACAAACCCCTGTCTAAGTCCAGAACACATCCCATATAAAATATAAAGCCCTACACAAACCCTGTTCCTGATCCTGCAAGAACTCCGTTCAAAATCCCTCAACCCCACACCCCTGAACCCCAAACCCCTAGAGCTCCTAAACTTAAACCCTTAACCTCTAGAGCCCCAGACCCCTACACCCGAAACCTTGAACCCTAAACCCCTACACCCTAAAACCCTAACCCCTAAACCCTAACCCCTAAACCCTGAACCCTATACCCTAAACCCTAAACCCTGAACCCTAAACCCTAAACCCTACCCTAAGGCCCCAAAGTAGTTCCTTTTGGGGGTTCATATATAGAATCCTATAAGGTAATCCCAAAAAGGAACGACGACTTTGGGGCCTATGGGTAAACCCTGAAACCCTAACCCCTAAACCCTGAACCCTATAGACCCTAGACCCTAAACCCTGAACCCTGAACCCTAAACCCTACCCTAAGGCCCCAAAGTTGTTCCTTTTGGGGGTTCATAATATATAGAATCCTATAAGGTAATCCCAAAAAGGAACGACTTTGGGGCCTATGGGTAAACCCTGAAACCCTAACCCCTAAACCCTAACCCCTAAACCCTGAATCCTATAGACCCTAGACCCTAAACCCTGAACCCTAAACCCTGAACCCTAAACCCTACCCTAACGCCCCAAAGTAGTTCCTTTTGGGGGTTCATATATAGAATCCTAAAAGGTAATCCCAAAAAGGAACTACTTTGGGGCCTCTGGGTAAACCCTAAAGTTCACTTTCCGCCGAAGTCTGCGGAGGCGCCGGGCCAAGCTGTTCGAGGCTTTGAGGCGGAGCTGGAGGAAGAGGAGGAGCCTCGGGTTGGGACCCGAGGGCTCCTTTAAAGGAGCCCTTTTAAAGGACCCGAGGGCTCCTTTAAAGGAGCCCTTGTAAAGGTTTATAGGGTTGAGTGTTCAGGTTTTTTTGCAGAGTTTAGGGGTTTTTGTTGCAGGAGTTAGGGTTAAGGCTTCCTTTCAGGGTTCCTTCCAGTGTTCCTTTAAAGGAACCCTTACAGGAACCCTCGTTGCACCCTCTATGTCCCTTAAGGGGTTTACCCTCTCAGAACTCGGACAAACCAGGCGAGGTTCTTGGTGCGAAGTCGGTGTGACACGGCAGGTACTGGACGTCCCTTGTCTTCTCCCCTCTCAAGGCAGACTCTTAATGCTGCAGTAGCGGCTCAAGGGGTTTAGCGTCTAGGCTTCCTTTAAGGGGGACCCCATCGTAGAACCGAATAGAACCCTTGAAGGGGACCCTATGATTACACCCTGGGTCCATAGGAGCCTCGGCACCCAGGGCGCTAGGGTTTTGGGTTGAGGGCTTGGGATTTTGGGAGTAATGCAGGAACCTGACTTTATAAGAAACCTTGGGCCTTTCTTGGGGTTCCCTATATGAATCCTGCTATGTTGGGGTTATGGGCCCCCAGGGTTTCTTAATCAGGTTCCTAAATTAGGGTTTGGAGGTCGGGCTTCAGGGGTTCAGGGTTTCTAGGGTTTTTTCCAAGAGGAGCCTTGGGATCCCAGGGTGGCAGAGAGTAGGGCTTTTAGAGGTGGGATGAAAGTAGGTTGGATCATACCACCCTAAACCCTACAGTAGAAGCCAGAAAGTTGGAATATGAGTATCCTAAACCCTCTATGGTAAATTATAGGGTATCCTACCCTGAAACCATATTCCAACTTTCTGGAGTTCCCTTTAAACCTACCTTCATCCCACCCTGAGAACCCTTTCACATGGTCCGAGCAGCTGGAGGATGTCGAACTCTTCTTCTTCCGCTTCTTCTTCGTCTTTCCTCGGGGACTGCTGAGCAAAAGCCTACCCCTCTTTGAAGGACACGTACTCCTAGGTCTGAGATGTTTCTGACATCCACAGGACAAAGAGGGAAAAGACAAGTTGTGGAGTCTATGCAGCACGGCATGTGCTTCTTGTTTCTTTCCCTATGTGCTTCTCATGTGGGTAGTTCTGTGAATTAGGGCCCGTTTTGGGGTCTTCTTTTAAAGGCTGCCATATTACTTTGAGAACCTGAGAAAAGGTGGCCCGATTTCGAGAACTACCTCAGCGCTCTCAAGTCATCCTCTCCGATACCCGAAAACGCATCCCTCAACCTTGACCAAGAAAGCCCTAAACCCTTTTAGTTCAAGCCTGTCCTGTGTAAGGTGGGTTAAGGGCAAGCCCTGCCTTGGTCATGTGGCCCTCAGGTGGCCACTCTGAGTTTAAAGACCTAGGAGCTGAGGTATGGGTTTTGGGTCCAAAACCTTGATTACACGTCCAGACCCTGCAGTACTGTAACGCACAACCCTAAAAACCGTAAACTGAAAATCCCTACACTGCCAACCATCCCGGTGCCAAGGAACGTGGCTTTCGAGAGGGCGACGAAGAGGCCGCCTGAGGGCGCCGAAGAGGCAATGTGATGATGATCATGATGATGATGATGCACATGATCAAGGCCAAGGCAATGAGCATGATCATGATACTGGCCATGATGATGATGGTGATGATCACCGGCCATGATGCCGATGCGATTCTGATACTAATCCTGCTACTGGTGATGCGCTGCTGGTGTTTGTAGTAGTTCTGGTGGTAGTGCACACGAAAACCAATGATACCCTATTTAATTCTCCCGAACTGAGGACTGTTCGGGCCCCGCAAAACTTAGGAAAGGGATATCCAATGTAAACCACCTTATGTATATTGAGGCCCAATATGGTAGGGAATATCCCTGTAGAATGCTTATGCTTATGTCATTTCGCCCCTAAATAAGCCATCTTCTTTCAAATCACAGAAAGAGCTCGGCATAATCTCCGGAGTTCTCCTTAGACAAGACGCCAGAATAATCATTCGGGTCCCTTATACCTACAAATGTGATACTGGTAATTCACAGCGAGCCTAACATTCAAGCCCTTCAAGAAAGGGAGCTTCTTCAGCAGGGGCCTGCGGTTGTTAAGGGCACTGGGCTCTCCGGGCACCCCAAACCAAAACCCTAAACCCTACAAATCCTATAAACCCCAAGCCCTAAAATCCTAAACCCCGAAAACCTAAACCCTATAAACCCCAAACCCTAAAAGCCTAAATCCCTAAACCCTATAGACCCCAAACCCTGAAAGCCTAAATCCCTAAACCCCAAAGACCCCAAACCCTAAAAGCCTAAATCCCTAAACCCTAAATTCTAAACCCAATGAACTCTAAACCCTAAAAGCCTAAATACCCGATCTCGGGCCTTTCTTTTCTGGCTCTTCACATCGATCCCCCGCTTGCGCGGCATGGCGACGAAGGGGGGGAACGTGGCAAAATACAGTGTCTGTGGTTTTAAACAAGGGATAGTCCGATAGTATGAAGAAGCTGGATGGTGAATCGTAGTGAGCCGTGGCCATGTGGGTTTTGCTCTCCGGCTTGAGGGTTTTATGGTCTCGGGTGCTAGATGGTCAAGTGTTTTTTGGAAACTACGTAGGGCCTATGTCAATGTAATTGCTGCTGGGGGTTTGGGTTTTAAGCATGGGAGTCCAAAATTGGCACCTGTTAGCATTTTCGGCGTTCAGGATTTTGTGCTTACTTGCGATGAAATTACCGATGTCTTTACAATGCTTTTTGTTTGGTTGTTCTGACGTCAGAAGGTCATTGATTTGAGCCTCAGTTTGCACAGTGGGGCTGCTCTTGAAATGGCCAAGGTGTTGAATCTGGGTCGAAAGTTTTGGGCGCTGCGAATTTTGACAGCGTGGCGCAGCGGAATAAAGGCTCTAGGTCCAAGGTGGATGATTCAACACTTCAAGACCTTAAACCAATCAACCCTATGCGACTGCAAACCCGGAACCCAAACCGCGTAAGCGGCAAGCCTAAACCCTAAACCCTAAGCCTGAAACTCGGTCAAAACAGTAAACCCCAAACAATACAAAAATCTCTGTGAACTTCATGCCCGCAAGGCTTCAGCAACACCTTGAAACGGACACCTTAGAAGCTGCCCCCACCCTGTAATAGTGACTATACGGATTATATTAGGGCCCTACTATATTCCTATATTCTACTTTATTCCTATTATGCCACTATTACAGGGTGGGGTCCCCTTCTAAGGGACACGGCCCCGGCCTGTTCCCTAAGCCGTCGCAACGTCTCGGCCGAGGCCTGCAGCTGCACATCTCCCGGCAAGGACCTCAAAACAAGTTTAGGGTTTAGGGTTTAGGGTTTAGAGTTTAGGGTTTAGGGTTTAGGGTTCAGGTCTAAGGTTCCTCTAAAGGCAAGGACCTCAAAACAAGTTGATGGGAGGCCCAAAGGGGGGGGGTTAAGATTCTTGGGCTAGGGATTCCTTAATAGGAACCCTATTGTGGGAACCCTAATCCCCACTAAACCTATATCTCCCGGCAAGGACCTCAAAACAAGTCTTGGCTTCAGCTTCAGGTCTAAGGTTCCTTTAAAGGGGTTTAATTAAGGGTTCCTTTAAAGGGGGTTTAGGGGTTTAGGGTTCAGGGTATAGTCTCCATTGTAGTTCCTTTGAAGGGGACGTACAGACATACACACATACAGACATACATACGTACACATGCAACGCATGAGCACAGATACAGGGGTTTCAGAAGCGAGGTCTGCGGTGAAGGTGCAGGGAGGGGTTTGTCTCGGTTCTTGGTTGTGGGATCTTGTGCTTCTATAGAACGACTTTACAACGGTTTCAGAGATGTTCCCTACGTTTCGAGGGTTTAAAGACAAACACAACTATACTATCCTATAACAGACCTACTTATAACAGTAACATATCATACGACGTAGTGCAACGTAGTGCCGGCAACGGCGGGAGTCGCCTTTCTTGAAACCTGCGATAGTAAATCTCGCCTTTTCATGGAGGGTCGAGGAGTCTCGGATTTTCGGCTAGCAGCACCAAACATGTAGGAAGCATGTCCGTATCAGAGGGTATGGGGCATGGGGTCTAAGGTTTGGGGTTCCGAGGTGTCGGGTATTGACCAGATTGGCGGATCACATCATCTTTCTATAGCCCACATGCAGCATTGGAACGATCAGTCGGTCCTGTGCTGGAACTGCGCCAGCAAACAAGCGCGGCATCAACTACGGCAGGAGTCCTCTTGCCTCCGTCCGTCTGTACCGATGCGCTCCACTTGCTAAATAAACATCGGTCGGAGTTCGGCCGCAACATACCCAAACCCAAGCTACAAAGTGTTTGCTGAAACAACACTGACAAGAACCGAACCCGAATCCCAACTAATTTTTCATATATGCGCAAGTAGGGTATGCATAACCTCATGCATAGCTTATTCTACTTAGAACGTCACGTCACTTGATCCCCAGTAAGTCGGAGAAGGGCCATAATTAAGCCCTATGAACTTCATCTCAAAACTTAATGTAACTTATTTACAAAAGGGGAGTTTCCAAAAATAAGGGACCCTGATATACTACCTTATAAGGACCCAAAACCCTAAACCCTAAACTTTTTGAGAAGCTCCCAGGTATCCCCTGAGCAATGCTTAGTTCTCGAAGGCCTCGGCTTCGGGAGAAGTCTGGGGGTTAGGTCTGCAGGGTTTATCAATAGAAGCCTTATACGTCCCAAAATCATAATAGTAATCCCTAACATAGAAACCCTACATTCCACCCTAAACCCTAAACCCTAAACCTTAAACCCTAAACCACAGGTACTTTGGACCCTTTGGGGAATAGAAGCCTTGGGACTCAGTTTTTGTTGGGGTGTCGGGTTCGGGTTCTTCATTCTTGTGGGTCCCTTTGGGGCCCTACACCCTAAAGCCAAACATGACTGAGATGGGGGGGTTAAGGATCAAACAGCAAAGCCTCTGCAACGTCAGAGAGCCCAGCTTGTACCGTCGTGAAGTCTTTTGCTTGATCAAACTTCTAAAGGTGACGGTGTGCTCGAAGGAACTCTCTTTACTCAAGGACTGCAGCACTCCCTGACACTGAACCAGTTGCACGAACAGACTTGGTAGGCACTCCCTTCGGGTTGACACACTACCCTAAGGCTCCAAAGTAGTTCCTTTTTGGGATTCATATATAGGATCCTATCAGGTAATCCCAAAAAGGAACTACTTTGGGGCCTATGGGTAGAGCTACTAGATTCAGATACCAGTTACCTGTGCACCATCAACGACCTCAAACCCCAAAGCCTGACCTAAACTCCTAGTTGTCCAGTATCATACGGGAACTAAAGGTCAACTTTTGGGATTAAATACGGGTTAATTATTGGTTATAAAGAAGCTGACCTACTCTACCGCCAAGACTGCTAAGAACCCCTTCTTAAAACCGAATAGCGAAAACGCCCAGACACCCCAAGGAGCGTCAGTGTCGTAGCCGCACCGAGATGGCTTAAGGCCAGCTGTACACCTCTACACACTCGGACGGGCCCAAGCCACTGGGGGTGATGCTGGGGTTTACGCCTGAGGGCTTTATGCTGATTTGCAGGATCTGGGATTCAGGACATAAGGCCCGCGTTTGAGTTGAGGTTTTGGAGCTGGATGATTAGGAGTTTAGGGCCCAACAGACTTCAGGGCTTTTGGAGTGATTTGGAATTTAAGATGTTTCGCAGAATCTTTCAAGGAAAGCTTTGCAGTGTTACGCTGAGCGTAGAATTGAATAGATACTTGCGAAGCATTAACCCCTACGAATACTGACCTACAGTACTTCTACACTAGGCCCAAGCCCTAATGATTGTTGTTTGCCAAACCTGCTGCCAGGCATTACGGGATAAGGGATGAACGTAAAGTGTCTTTAAGGGCTCTATATAAAGCCTCAGTACTTAGAGAAAAGCTTGGAGGAACGCTGTAGTGTGGTGGCATCTGGAACATAAGGGTGGATTATGGCTGCTTTGCCCAGGCATTTATCTCTAAACACCGAAAATGCCTCTGCATAGGTTCACAGGATTTAGTCTCTGGTGGCGTGGGGTAGGCACGGTCGGCGCGTCTCAGCACAATGAATTATGGACCTCACGGAGAAGCTCCTGCGACAGACACACTTGGGCAACCCAAGTTTGGGGTGCTTTGCAGGGGGCTTTGTAGGGCTCCTTCACAGGTCATTTAAAGAAACTTTTGGGACTTCTCGGGGTTGAAGATGTCTTGGAAGGGCTCCGGTTAATGGTTCTACCATAAGGACACTCTAAACTTTATCAATGGTGTCTATGTGGTAAGTTAAGGGTTTGGGGTTGAGGTTCCTGCATAAGAGATCCTTTAAAATTACGGTTCCATTGAGTCTGGGACTGCGTAGATGCCAGAACAAGCCATACCCTTCTCAGAACCCAGGCTCCCGGATGTTCGGCACACCTAAAACCATACCCTCGACCCAGAACCACAGTTGTGAACCAGACTCGAAGTCTGGCCAGTGGCCCAAATACCTACCTTTTGTAGGAGTTCCTTGCATTATGTCCTGACAAAGAACACGGCGTTTCAGAGTCCAGATAGACCCAAGGCCCTCTTGCAACTTACCCCTAAGCCTGACACCCACTAGATCCTGAAACCTTCCGGCACCTGAAACACTAAAACCTCGGGTTTAAGTTTAGAAGACGAGGGAACCCCGAAAGAAGTGATCTTCAAACTTCTCTGGATATCTACGAGAACCCACTTCTTGGCAGGCTCCTAGTGCAAACATTAGTGTCGAATTTGTATCAAATCTTTGTGAAGTATAGTTCTTAGGGTATGAACCTCTACCCTCTTGGATACTTGAACCCTCCATCGCAGGTCAATCCCAAAGTGTGGCGGCATAGGGCCTCTTATGAGGGTTTGGGGCTAGGGCGGTTAAGGGGAACTGGTCAATTGGGAGTTTCCGAAAAGACGGGTCCCCAATATACTACCCTACATAGTAGGATCCTTAATAGAAGGTCCCCCAAATAAGGTACCCCGAATTTTCCGAAACTCCCAAGTAGATTCGATGAAGGGAATCATGATCTCCTACATCCCGGAACCGGTAGAAGTCCGCTCCTCCAGGATGGGGTAGGCCTGATGGGACACCACCTCGCGGCCACTGACGGGTCGAGGCTTGACGAAGTTTATGGCTTGAGGCTTCGCGACGTGTTGTTAAGGCCGCGGGCTTAGCTTCGGCTGATGCGGTTGCGTTGTGCCGGTGGGCCAAGAACATCTCGCTCACACCATCTCTCAAGTACAGTCTACGATGCCGGGAACATAAACCCTGCATCAACTCAAAAGGCTTCCGAAAAGATAGGTGCGGTATATTTCGGTACACCCCCTTTCGGCTTCCTGAGAGAATTTTCCGGAGCCCAAATCATACACCATACGCTTACACTCGTGAATCCCCGAGGAACCCTAGACCGAACCGTCAGATCTGAATCCTAAACCCTGAACCCTTTTTTTAAAACCCTAAACCCAATTACCCACGCTTTGCAACTGAAATCCCGCCCGTTGAGATGGATTCTATAAGTAACGCAAGGCTCAAAGATTGCAGCCCTAAGTAGCAAGGAAAGTTGAACCCCTAATAAACACAGGGGTAGAATGCAGAATACACAGTAGCTAGGATGCCCAGTAACCTGGGAAGACAACGGGCTCCCTTTTGGTATTGGGTAACTTTAGCAGGAACCTAGGACTACACAAACAGGGAACAAGGGTACTACTGGGCATCCTAGGTAATGATTACGATAAAGAGAAAGGATCCCACAGGATTCATCTTATAGTAGAAGCCAGAAAGTTGGAACATGGCTCTAGGAGGATTAGTGCTAGGATCCCTTATAGTTTACCTTAAGGGTACGAGGACAACTATGTTCCAACTTTCTGGCTACTGTATAGTAATTGGTGTTGATCCGGACTCTAAACCTCCCGGGAGCCTGCGACAAAAAGCAGGCGGCGAGCTCCTCCTGAGGATTCCTGGGGCTTTGCTGAGCTGGCTACTGACTGGCATAGGTTTTTTTTTAAAAAAACCTAAAACCTATGTTTTTACAACAAGCATTTAGGAACAAAAAACTTAATAGCGGACACACAGGGTTTTGTAAGGTTTAGGGTTTCAGGCGTTTTCTGGCCCCGGCAAGCTCTTGAGCATTGGAACTACCTTGACGGATTCATGCTGGAGGCCTGAAGAAAAGCCATAATATCATGATGTCTATGCGAAGTCCTCGGGCCATTTTGGGCCTCTTCGGACAATGGGCTTTAGATTGGTTGGAGGTGTGGCGAACTTAGTGAAAAGGATGGACTCCGGCAA